GCCAACCAGATTAAATTACTAGTCACACTTTAATGTACTGAGGAAAAGGAACAAACAAATAATTTCCTCATCTTTTTGGTATTTTTATAACTTCTATAAGGCAGAGCAAGACACTAAATAAAGTATTGAAGCCTGAAAATGTACTGGAACTTGAACAGCTCTGCTGAGATCACGGGTCACTGAATGCTACTTGAAGTTAGAAAAATCAATTGTTTGATAAAGGGAAAGGATGTTGGCTGAGATCCCAAAAGCTGCTGCCCATATGGAAGTTACCCACGTAGCACCTACTGAACTCCCTTTGCCACTTTAGAAGAGGCAGGCAGCTGTGAGGCAATCTGATGCTGAAGTCATATCCCAGTTATGTTCTTCAGTCCACCTAAAGCGAGTACAGTAAGTTAACAGAACAGCTAAATGACCATTTTTACTGTAGGTATGTAGTACATGCAAGGACATAAATAGAAATTTGTTGTCATTTTTTTAATATTGTTGTGGCCTTAAAGCAGAAATGAACTGAGTGCATTTCTTTTAATTTAAAAAATAATCTCCATCTTTGTGTATACCTAAGTGTATATAATAAATAAAAGTTGTACTTAAAATCTTGGGGAAAAAAAGCTTGGGAGCCAGCAATGTGCACTTGCAGCCAAGAAAGCCAGCTGTATCCTGGGCTGCATCAAAAGATGCATGGCCAGCAGGTCAAGGGAGGTGATTCACCCTCTCTGCTATGCTCTCATGGGACCCCACCTGGAGTACTGGGTCCAGTTCTGGAGCCCCCAACACAAGAAGGAAACGGAGCTCTTGGTGGGAGTCCAGAGGAGGGTCATGAAGATGATCAAAGGGCTGGAGCACCTCTGCTATGATGACAGGCTGAAAGAGTTGAGGCTGTTCAGCTTGGAGAAGGCTTTGGGGAGACCTCATAGTGGCTTTGTAGTACATGAAGGGGCCTACAGAAAAGCTGGGGAGGGACTTTTTACAAGTACCTGTAGTGATAGGATGAGGGGGGGTGGTTTCAACTGAAACAGGGTAGATTAGAACAGATATTAGGGATAAATTCTTTACTGTGAGTGTGGTGAGACACTGGAACAGGCTGCCTAGGAATGTTGTGGCTGCCCTCTCTGTGGAAGTGTTCAAGGCCAAGTTGGATGAGGCTCTGAGCAACTTGGTCAAGCAGGATGATCTTTAAGGTCCCTTCTTACCCAAACTATGCTATGAAAGCTGATGCAGCCAGCAGAAAAAAAGAAAATACATTTCAGCTCATGGTGTTCGATACATTAGAAAAAAACTTGAGGAAAAAGAAGAAAACTTTAATCTAGGTACACAAGACATTACTGCTGCATGTGTTTCATGGACATGCCCTCTTTATGTAACCAGCTCCAGGAATACAGTGTTCCACTGTTTGGTATTTGAGGTTTGACTTCACATTGTTCAGCTTGTTACTGCAGGCAATTTCTAACAAGGTGGGTGAGATAATTTCATGCTAGTGAGGACAGGCAGAAGCTTGCAGGGGGCTCTCCCTCCGACAGTGACTTCAGAATTGCCCTAGAACCAGTCCGCATCAAAGATTTGAGCTAGCTCTTTTTCTGCAGCATGCAGACCACCCACAATCCTGCTGCTGATCTTGGAAAAATCACCATTAGCAACATAGAATTTTATTGCCAAACTGCTGGTAAACAGTGAAGCAAACATTGCCTTTGCTCGCCATTAAACAAAGGTTTTTATCAACTGCTTTCTATAATCTAGAACCTTTGCTTTCTTTAACACTTTGGATATTTGTAACACACACACACCTCCTTCCTCCAGTCTCATTCTGTAATTCATCAAGGCTAACAAACTGCCCCTATCTTGCTCCCTGGGGCTGAGTAAATACAGATCTCTCAGATGGTTTTGTGGGAAAAGGCTCATGCAGTGTGAAATGAGTCAGTTGATCTGGGCAGCCCTATTCATGTATGTGCTGGAAAGGCAAGTTCTGGCATTGAAGGCTTCCAGCAAAAGAAGGACATGCTTTGATCTCCATAAAAGTTGGGAGCTCGCTGTCAAGTCTTCTGTGGACTTGAAACTCACCGAAGGGAGGACTGTCAGTTTCCTCAGATCCATTTTAGAGTGTTTTCCACATATCAGTGTAGTATTTTAACAAAAAAAAAAAAGCACATTTTGTTCCATTCCAAGTGACCCCCAAATACTTTATATACTATAGGATTTGCATTGGCATGGCCAGGAAGAGCCAGCTGCAGGCGTCAGCACCACAGGATGCTACTTAGGGTTCCAGGGAAGTACAGGAGCACCTGTCTCTGAGAGCAGAGTCTGCTGTTTCAGCTGGCTGACCTGACAGACAGCATTGGTACCTCCAGCTCAGTCCTTTAGGAAGCCATGAACAAGCGATTAAGAGAACATGCCCAAAGGACAACCCCCATTGCAGGCTCTGCAATGCCCATCCTGTGTCATTGGGTCACACGGGGGATTACACATACCCAGCTTTTTCAAAGAAAGTTCTTCAGATGCCAGGACTTTGTCCTCTGGTATAGGGCACCATTCAATACTTAGTTGCTTTAGTGAACTGAGGATTAAATAAGATGCAAACAAACCAAATCAAAACAAAGAACTATGAAACATTTCTAGACAGAAGTGAAAGATGACAAGTGTTCAAAGGTATTAAAAGAGCATTTTTTAAATTAACTGCAGAAAGATGGCAGTGTTGGAAAACAATTGTTTAATTGTCTGGACTCTGGAACAAAAAACTATCAGAAATTAAATACCAAAGTGCAGATTCTATTATGAACAAAATGCCAGCTCACCTCCATCTAAAAAAAACAAACTGAGGACCAGAATCAGAGTGAGAAGAGGAAGGAATTGTCACAGTATTAAAAATCAGACAAAGCACAACAACTGCAAGAAAGTGGGGCACTCTTTCTTTAGATGCCAGTATTTCCCCTCTTCAAAAACAGGATACTGGGCTGTTGTGCCGGACCTGAGGCCCCGTTTGGGGCTTTTTACTATTAATGAGTCCTTATCAGATGTTATAAGTAAAACTGTTTCCAAGCTGCCAATCTTACAAAATTATTTTAGGATATGGAAGTCAAGCTGAGATGCTCACAATTAACACATCAGGCCAAACCTCGTCCACAGGTATAACTGCACCTGTTATATGTACCTGTTAAGTTGCCTACACAAGTGCAAGTGGAGATTTTGGCTTTGCAATTATTACTGAGTAAACAGGACAGCTGCTAATGAA